GCCTGAGTAAAATTGCAATTTGTTGAGAAACTCGATTTACTCCGGCTGCTTCTGTTGCATCATTAAACTGAAAATGCTTCTTACAACCAGACCAGGTTCTTCACAGCGATAATGGGAGATGTATGATGGATGTGTGCTCAAACAGCAGCTTCTGCCCACCCTGACATACAGAGAGGGTCCTGGGCAAGGCAGGGATGAAATGGCATCATCCGCTGATAGAGGCAATAGCACAGGAAGGAGTGCTGGATAGATGTTACAGTGTTTGACAGTGATTGAATGAGGCCAATCCTTTCTCTAGTGCATGTGTATGGATTAATAATACACAACACAGCAACATGAAATCCAGCTGTACACAAGGAGAAGAGAAAATAAATACAAGTCCTGGGAGTAAAGTGTAAGAGAGCTGCAATGTGCACTGCTGTGTATCCATGTGTATGAGTCACTTTGTTGTGTCACAGTAACTCAGCATGACAACCCTCAGCATATCTACATTAGGCTGTGTGTCTGTATGTATATGCATGAGAGAAGTAGTAAATTAAATAAAACCCAGGTGACCTGCAAACCAGACTTTTGTAGTGGAATAGAAATTACTGGTCTCACAGCTCAGTCTTTACAACAGAACTTTTTTTTTTTTTTAAGACAAAGTGCAACTAAATATTTATGACTTATTGAAATGATTCAATAGAAAATGTGAAAGTATACAGTCTGGGTTCCATATCTCCAGTGTGCCACGAACACAACACATTGCAGTTGGCCGGATAAACTTCATGCTATAACGGAGGAGAACCATAATGATGAACACAAGTGAGGATATTGCTTTTCACTTTAATTACTATTTACATGCATTGGAAATAAAATCCCCCTTTGTTTGGCAGTCATCTTTCATCTGGGCGTCATTGCTTCATCCCATAGATAATGAGAATATTTTACATGGAGATTTGAGCTTCAGTTTAGGTTAGTGAAAATTCACCATCTATAATTAGAGGAATCTCTGTCTGTCAGTTTATCTGTCTGTGTGTCTGTCGATAACCACTTATTCAACGGCTTCAGACTCAGCAGGTGTGTTGCTGAGGAACCAAGGCAGTGTTGAGTCTGTCAACTGCAGTACAGTGCAGTCCCTGCAGTACAAGCAGACAGAGACGCCAGGTCAAGGAGGCCTACACTGCTTCAGCTCTACCACCAGTTGGCAGATCAGATCATAATCTGGTTTCTCTTCAGCCTTCCTACAAACCCTGTGTACTGAGGCAGGCTGCAACCACCTGCTCATTCAGGAACTGGACCCCAGAGGCCAGTGAGTCTCTAAAAGAATGTTTTCATTGCACAGATTGGAATGTCCTGTTGGAATCACAGGAAAATGATAAAAGCAAGGACCCTGGCCTTGATAGAATGGTTGAATGTACCACAGACTACATTAACTTCTGTATGGACACTGTAATACCAGCAAGGATTGTACACTGCTTTCCAAACAACAAACCCTGGATCACCAGTAACATCAAGACCCTCCTCAACCAGAAAAAGGAGGCCTTCAGGGATGGAAACAGGGAGAAGCTCAGGTGTGTGCAACATGAGCTGAAGAGAAGATTAAAGCAGGCGAAGGAGGACTATAAAAAGAAAGTAAAGAGGAAGCTTCAGCACAACAACACCAGAGAGGTGTGGAAGGGGATGAGGACCATCACTGGCTATAAAGACAAGAACAGCCAGGCAACATCAGGTGATGTGGACAAGGCCAATGAGTTCAACCTTTTCTCCAACAGGTGTGACACAGCCTCACCTGTTCTCTCTCCCACTGCTTCAGCTGCAGCTTCTCCTACGGCATCTCCTCCACAACCTGACACTGCAGCTGCAACTCCCTCCATACTGGGGTCAAGTCTTCTGTCCTTTACAGTGGAGGAGGTGAGGGCGGAGGTCAAGAGGCTACGCCCTGGAAAAGCAACAGGCCGGATGGTGTGTGTCCGAGGCTGTTAAAGGACTGTGCAGCCCAGCTGGCTGAGCCTCTCCAGAGGATCTTTAACTTAAGCCTACAAACAGGGAGGGTCCCGGTCCTGTGGAAAACATCATGTCTTGTTCCAGTCCCTAAAGTAGGAAGACCGGCTGAGATAAATGACTACAGACTGGTGGCTCTCACATCACACATCATGAAGACCCTGGAGCAGCTGCTTCTCCATCTTCTGAAGCCACAGGTTGAACATGCACTTGACCCCCCACAGTGCGCCTACAAGGAACATATTGGAGTGGAAGATGCCACCCTTTACATGCTCCACTGGCCCATTCTTACTTGGATGAGTCAGGTAGTTACATGACGATTATGATATTTGATTTTTCATCATCCAACCCCCCATTCTTAAAGACAAGCTGAAAGGGATGGGTCGTGGATCCCTGCTTCAGGTCTTAGATTGTGGATTACCTGACAAGACGACCACAGTACGTCAGGCTGGGTAACTGTGTCTCAAGGACAGTGATGAGCAGCACTGGGGCTCCACAGGGGACTGTTCTGGCTCCGTTCCTGTTCACCCTGTATACGGTGGACTTTAAATACAACTCTGAGTCCTGCCACATCCTGAAATACTCGGATGACACAGCTATTGTGGCACGTATCAGGAATTGGCAGGAAGAGGAGTACAGGGATCTGATGATGGCCTTCAGTGAATGGAACGGAAAGAACTGCCTCCTACTGAACACCCTCCAAGACCAAGGAGATGGTCATGGACTTTGGGAGGTCTAGGCCCACCCTTCAGCCAGTCAAAATTCGAGGGAAGGACATTGAGGTGGTGCACACTTATAAATACCTAGGTGTGCACCTGGACAGTGAACTGGACTGGTCCCTGAACACGGATGCCATATACCTGAAGGGTCAGAGCCGGCTCTTTTTCCTCACGAGGTTCAGGTCCTTTGACGTCTGCAGTGAAATGCTGCACATGTTTTATCAGTCAGTGGTGGCCAGCGTACTTTTTTATGCTGTAGTCTGCTGGGGCAGCAGCATGTCTGACATGAACACAAAGAGACTGGACAAGCTGGTAAAAAAGTGAGTCTGGACTCACTCAGGACTGTTGTGGAGAGATAAGGCTTATATCTCCATCTCCTAGCCTTTAGCTTAGCCCTGGCTCTGCATCCACGGTATGGCTTCTTCAGCTGAGTACATTATTTTTTCCATCGTCAGACGAAACAACGACGTACAAAAAAAACATCAATCGACAAAAAATATACTAATATATACAAATATATTGCAAAAACTATGAGCTACATGGACTTGCTGCCATTTGTTGTCAATGCATCATTCGAATGAAGGAGGTTCTATTGAAAAAGAATACCGGACTTTATTTATTTAAAAAAAAACTGAACAAATGAACGTGAACTAGTTCATTTTTGGAACTGTGAACTTAGTTCAAAATTTTAAAAAATTAACTTTTAACATGAGCTAGTTCATTTTCATCTGTATGAACTGAACATGTTCTTTTTAAGTGTGAACTGGCACAACACTGTCCAAGGCAGCAATAGCAACATTTGCGGAACAAATTCATTGTGTTTCGGCAATTCACAGTATTGGTAACAACAAACTAACGATATCATGTCTACTGTAGCTGAATATGTAGCATCAAGTTACTTAGACACGGGGAGAAGAAAATCCAGTTCTGAGTCCAGCTGGACTGTAAATGGACTGTATTTATACTCACTCAAAGCACTTTACACTACTAGTCACATTCACCCATTCACAGAACATTCATACAGCACTTTGCTCTACATATATCGCCCTCTTCTACCATACACATTCGCACACTGATGATAAATCGGGGGCAATTTGGGGTTCAGCGGTTCTTGCCCAACTTCTTTACCACTGATTAGTGGATGATACACTCTACCTCCTGAGCCTCCTGACCACAGCCGCCCTCTAAGCAGCTCGTTCTCCATCTCTGTAAAGCCAGTCAGTAAGTGCACAAGCACAGGAAGTTGCTTCTCAATTCACCTCAAAGGGGATTTATTCTCATAGACATTGTTGATATGTGACATCTAGTCACTCCCCACAAGGACACGCCGCACTCATCAGGGAGTAATGATAGGGAGTAATAATAATGAGTAATGATAATACATTCCACTTTAGGGGAACCTAGACTCAGAGCCTACAGGCAGGTGGTGGATGTATGGAAAACTATGCTGTTGTCACATTTAAATGTGCTGCCACGTTTGTATCAGGTGCATCTCACTGGGATTTTGGAAACAGTGCTTGCACAGTAATACTGGGATCACACTTAATTTTTCATGCATTTGTTTTACTCGAGATAGACTACAAGGATCATGTGACCTTAAAAGAGATAATGAGATGAAACTGATTTTACAAGCTTCTCTTATTTTGTTGATCATGTTTTTGTTATTTATGTTATTTATTTGAATTTTAACATAGAGCAGCTGTGTGGGAGGATTACAAGGAGGGCAGCAGCTTGAATGGGTCACCACACACCACCATAGTACATACATTTAGCATTTGTGATGCTGTGAATGTAGAAATAGTTGGTATGGTAGTGGTTGCCATACCAACCTGCTACAGTAACATACTCATGTTTAGAAAGCAGGTTTAAAGGAAAACTGTGGTTCATTACAGTCTGGGTTTTATTGTTTTAGTTCAGCTGTGAAAGACTGTACCAACCAAAGTTACTGCTGACAGCTGACAACATGGCAGTGTCATCAGTGGAGAAAGAAACACAAGCAATCTTACAGGTTGTAAACCTGTCACCTGGTTAAACAAAATTTGACGTGCTGTACTTGTGTCCTGACTATGTTTTCTATGACTGGAATGAGGACATGTTGTGTCAATTTTAACATGTTGTAAACATGATGATACTGAACGTATCAGTTTAATGGTCATAGAAAACATGTTTGTTTTCCTTCACACTGGACAAGCTGGAATCTACCAATATTTGATATTTTTATTTGATAAAATACTTGAAATTATTTGCTGATTGTTGAAATAACTATTTTCTGTATGTGTATGTGAAATGTGTGTGCAGGAGGTGGGCTGTGATCGGCAGCTGGCCAGTGGTGCCAGGGAAGATAACTGTGGCATCTGTGGTGGTGACGGCTCCACATGCAGGCTGGTTCGAGGACAGGCCCTACCCCACCTGACACCAGAACAATGTAGGTATCTGACCACCGGCTTGGCAATGATGGATTTGTGTCCAGCTCACATACATGTCTTTATTCACTCTGGTTCCATTTATCAGCTTCATGTTCCCAAGCTAAGAAACAATACTTAACACAATGGACTTTAAATACCCTTACACCTTGTTCCCCACTTTAAATGTTTGCTTTCTGGGTCATTTTAGAGCCAACTTCTCAGCTCAGGTCTATATCTCTCTGCTGGTTTCATAAGCACAGATGAAACATGTCTATGTCCCTGCCCAGCCTTCCTCCCAGTCATGTGTAGAAGGTTTATAACAAAGCTGGATATCTGTCTGCTGTGACTCTGGGCTCTAACTTGTCTTGGCTGCGTGTCAGTGGTTGCTGAGTTGGCTACAGGTCTTCAGGAGCTTTCTCAGTCTCCAGCATTTATTTAGCCTGGACTATTAAAATGTCATCTGGCTACTGCGTAAAAGGAAGAACCAAGCAGAAAATGTTTGTTTGGAAATGGCTTTTAATCAGTTTCCATCTTAGTTTTAGAAAAGCACTGATCATTCAGTGATTTGCAAGAGATAGAAAAGTGCTGATGAGAAGATCAGTGTTAACTGCTTGCTGTAGTTCTCTAGAATAAATTGCAAAAAGTTGCTTTATTCAGGAAACGATAACAATATAGAGACACATCTTCACTTGCTATGATTAGCAAGTCTACAAAGTCTAGACATTTAGGAAAAGTGTGGACATTTTTCTCCATTGCCTTGATCTGAAGGGCAAAACTCCAGCTCCAGCATTATTTGTAGTATAAAGAACAACTTTATTCAACTATGAGAGCGATGTGTTGTGGCTCAAGGCATGGATGAGGGTCAACCCCAATGAGAGGTGTTTCTCTACCCTGCTTCCATTGTTTTAATGGAGATGAAGGTTATATAGATTGTTGGAAAATTAACAGGAACCTCTTACAATGGTACAATCCAGTCTAACTACACCAAAGTCTCAGCTTCAGAAATGACCACGGAGCTGAATCAATGTGTTTCTGTTATTTTGTCCAGCAAATATACAGTACACAGGCGTGAGAATGGTTTTAAATGACAAGCACAATTGTATCCTTTTCCCAAGAAGGAGCAGTTCTTGTGGTCAGCATTTTGTCAGAGGCTTGGCATTTGGCATTTATCAGACTCATTTGTAAGCTTTGCATTCACTTTTGAAGTTTCAGTCTCATGTCCTCTCTGCTTGTCCTTCAGCTTTAATGCACCAAAAGCAGTGCGCTGATAAAGGAAACCAATTATGACCAGTTTGGTTTACCTTGGTTAGTGAGTTAATTTACCATTGCTGACACAGAGAGTATCACCTTTGTTCTCCCTCATCCATCATTCATGACTCTCCTGTTCATCAGTCACTGCATTTGGAATATGAATTGGCTGCAGTATTCTCTCAAGGTCCAGCAGACATGTAAAATGAGCTCAGAACTGTTTATCTGTGTTTCATTTCACCAATTTATTTTGATGGTCACTTTTTTAAAATACATGGCTTTACTTTTAATCACCATTTTTAAACAGAAAAAATGCAAATGACTGTAGCTGAATTTATTTCATTGCTTCCATAAAATTAGGATATTACAGATGCAGTTTCCAAGAATGATTATGTTAGTGGGCAAAGCCTCACGGCTGGCAGCAAGAACACCTTAATTGTTTGAGCTCAGCACTCAGTTGTTGCCAGAAGGAAAAGTAAGTTTCATAAAATGTGGAAAATAGAATTAACACTCCATTTGTCTATAAATGTCTCGCCTTATTAAAACACCTCCTCATTCATACACAGAGGGAGAAACACTTCTTATGTGAGAATTCAGAAAGTATTTTTGCAGGCTGAAAAACAGAATTGCTCCCACAGCAGTAAATACTTGAGATAGTTTAGCTCTGTGCTTGTTGTGTACACTGTGAGCATAACCTGAAGAGAGTCTCATGATTGACTACTTAGCAAAGCTCACTGATATTTAACAGCAAACATGAATGATATTCAGGTCTGAGGAGCTGATCAGTGCCGCAGGTGTGAAGCAGCCAGATTAAGAGATGGCAGTGAATTTAGTGCAGTGGTCTCCAATGTTATACTTTCTACATCTGTGAGTACATGAATGTCCATGAAGGTCCACAAGGGTCTGTGTGACGCAAATGTCTTCATCTGAAGGTGTACACAAGGCTCTGGTGTGGAAGTCCATGGACCCTCCAATCTCTTATGTCTGCACAGTCACTACAATGCAAGGGTACCAACTGTACATGAGATGGAAAGCAAACATCGACGCTGAGTTTGAAGAGAGCAGGATGATAAAAGCAGGGCAATGATGTTGATGGTAGACATCTTAGCATTTCAGCTACAGAGGCAAAATCTGAGGGTGTATCCATGTCTGTGTCCAAAACTGCATTGAAGTCAATCGGCTCATTTAGATCATTCAAGTTCCGACATTTGTCACTGTTAATTAAATTTTGAAACTAAGTGATAGCCACCAAAGCTAATGTTGCTACAACAACATCCTATGTAGCATCATAACTGTGAATGTGATAACCTATTTATATTAACATGGCTGCTATCCCGCAGTTTACCTAATTACAAATGAATCATTTATAATTCATTTGTGTACACAAGTGGAAAGATGTAATCCCTCTGCCACCTGCCAGAATAAGGACATGTTATTATATTATTTAGCAGTTTACTAGTTCAGAGGGTCATTTCTCCTTTCAAGATATATACACATTTCTGAAACTTCCCTCAACAGCTGTTCAGTCTTAAAACAATTTTTTACAGTAGGCTACATGTTCCAGTAGACCCAATGATGACAAAAATCTTCCTCTTGTACTGTTGTTCTTACAACTTGCGGTCCTCACAGAGACAGACATGTATGTGAGTGCACACATGCACACACGCACGCACGCACGCACGCACACACACATACGTACACTGAAAAAGAACTCACACTGTAATCTTTAATGTTTTGATCACTGGTTTCACTGCTCACTTTCAGTCCCTGGATATATTCACTTTATAGCTTCTTGTATCTCCCCTCATCTTCTATAGTTCATTACACTGGTTGACATTACACTGAAGATTCAAGGTCAAAATGAACTGGCAAAACTTCGTTGCTCACTTGATGTTAAGTTGCCAAACAAATAATAGCATTGAATGGGACATTTGTCTGCCAGCTTTAATCTGTGAAGAGGACCAAATACAATGGAACAGAGTGATCTCAGCCTTTGATTGGACATTTGACAATTGTTCGTTGACGTGCAGATAGGATGGGTTTTCTTAGCTTGTCAGGGATATAGATTAATGCTCAACAAATGAGATTTCAGGAAGTGGGCACCATAGTTTGTTACAGCAGTAACACATACAACAAGTAAATAAATAAATAAATGTGGCTCAGTGAGTCCGTGATTTTTTTCACGGATCAGACCTAAATGTGAACTGTATTGAAAATGTTGGTTGATTTGATGAGATTGGAGTGAATATGGGGATTTCAGGGTGCTGTAGTTTCCTACAGCAAGACTGTTGTATTTGTAAGTGAAAAAAAATATTTGTAATTTGATTTTTAAAAAATTGTAAAGCTAAAAATTAAAGCTACTTGGGGAGCAGTGGAAAAGCTGTAAACAAAACACGTGGCATGTTACATCAAATAGCAGATGTGTTAGCAAACTGTTTCAGAGCAACATTATGTTTCATAATTAGTTATGTTTGTGGGAGGAGTCACGTGATGCAGCGAAGGTAGACGGACGTGCCACCGAGAGCTCCCGACAACACCTAGTTAAAATTATCCTTTAACTAATTTATGTCACCCAGACTCTGAATCCAAGTTGATCTAAAGTTAGTGCATGGAACTCAGGTCCAAAGGAAGACAAAGCTACCATACAAAACCTTCACTCACGATGGCTACATAGGAGGCTAACGCTAGCCCCAAACATCAACACGGCGAGCATGGCGAGGGAAGTCGAAACCCAGATGAGAGCACGGCCTACATTCTCAGAGAGATCCGAGAAGGAAACCAAAAACTCGCCTCCCAATTTGATTCCAAGCTGACAGAGATAAACTCTGCCATTACACATCTGGATAAAACCATAACCAGCCTTGTCACGAGAGTAACAGAGGCGGAGGGCCGCATCAGCATGGCGGAGGATACACTAGTGGGCCTGGACAAAACGGTGCTTCAACTACACAAACAGAATGACTACCTGCTCGAAAAAGTTGACCAACTTGAAAACTACAGCAGGCGTAATAACATTCGAGTCATCAATCTACCGGAGGGTTATGAAGGCACGAACCCGGTGAAGTTTTTCACTGACTGGCTCCCCTCCCTTCTGGGTCTGGACAATTTCTCTGAACCCATCATCATAGAGCGAGCACACAGAGCACTCTTCCCCAAACCACCACCCGATAAGAAGCCGAGACCCATCATAATCAGATTCCTGAGGTACCAAGACAGAGAGAGGATCCTGCGTGCGGCAGCTTCAAAGGAAAGAAACACCATTCAACATGATGGCGCACCTGTTATGCTGTTCCCTGACGTGAGCCCCGCTGTCGCCAGACGCCGGAAAGAATACGACCAGGTGAAGAAAGAACTCGTGGCCAGGAAAGTACCTTTTGCACTGCTCCATCCTGCAACGTTGAGAATTCTCCACGACGGCCAACGGCGATTCTTCAAAACACCAAAAGAAGCAATGACATTCATTCATAAACTACATCCTGAACGTGAGAGCGGACCGGAGTAAGTTGATTGACAGCTGATGGTGCGTTCATTGATGCGGAGGGATAACTAAGTTCACTGGACACTTTTGAACGGTTTGTATAACCTATCAATATAGTTAAAATTTCGACTAAATCTTCATTTTACTTTAATGATAGAGAGTATTCTGGACACAACATCTGACAGCACAGATGCTGTAACTTAACCTGACCCACCTTATTTATCATTACATTGCTTATATTTGACCAATGTTCTTACTTTTAAAGAGCTGTTCTTGCTCTTGGTCTAAATCTAA